GAGAGAGAGAGAGAGAGAGAGAGAGAGAGAGAGAGAGAGAGAGAGAGGGAGAGAGAGATCTACAATTTTTACCTTGTAAAGTTGTTTTTTTCTACGTACTGTATGTGTGTTTGTGTTTATTTGTATTGACCAAGTTTTTACTTTAAAAAGGTTACTTTAAAAAGTTGTAGATGTACTACAAGATGTACATCTACAACTGGTTAACTTTCGGAGTCAAAACTAGTTGGTCATCACAGCAAATGGGTCTTAGCAAAAACAGTGATTATTGTAACTCAGTCTAGTTTTTTTAGATATTGAGCAAAACTTTAGTGTGGTAAACTGAAAAATGTGAACCATTTCAACTACCTAGGCAGCTTTCTGTTATCCAGTGCTGTTATCAATGAGGAGATACAACATTGTCTCAGCTGTGACAGTGGGGCTTTTGCCAGACTCAGAGCAAGGGTCCTTGAAAACCACTATCTTTGGACCAGAACAAAAATCCTGGTTTAAAAAGTGGTTGTGCTTCCAACACTGCTATATGGATCAGAAGGTTGACCACTGACCACATACAGCAGGCACTTGAAGAGACTGGTCCGCGAAGGCACTGCAATGAATAACAACTTCCACTAAGGTAAAGGTGCTTTATTGGTCATCAGTGTATGTTTCCACACAATGATGAAATTTGTGCTCTGCATTTGACCCATCCACACCCAAGTGGAGCAGCGGGCAGCCATGTGAGGTGCCTGGGGAGCAGTTAGGGTAAGGTGTCTTGCTCAAGACACAAAAAGGATAGAGCCACAGCCAAAAAGGTCCAACTTCAATCCACCACCACTCACCTCACACTGCACAAAAACATGCAGCTCTAGGATTGGCCTTTTTGCACACCTGAAGACCCACAAGAACCAAGACAAAGGAAAAGTCATACTCGACTTTGAGTGACCGCCAATGATGATGAGTGTGGTAGTAGCTGAGAGTCATTCCCAACAGATGCGCCAATAAGGTTTTTTTAAAACACCATCATTTTAAAGTGAAATTAACTATTGTGATCAATCCCGCTTGTCTGTTAGTGAAATATCTTGTGACCTACTGGGCAAATTCTACTAAAACTCAGACACTCCAGATGCACAAGATCTTTATTTAAAAAATTAGCAGGCAATGCAGATGGCAAATAATGTGTATTCTTTCACAGAATGCCACATTTATTTAACAAAAGGATTACCTTTGATTAAGAAAATAGTGATTCCTTTGTTAATTTTGTCTATTTATAGCTGTGCAATAAGCACTGAGTCCTTCTGACCACAAAAGCCTAAAGCTACTAATAATAAAACTTAGTATATTACCACAGTTCTTTTAACATCCTTTAAGCTTAATTTTCTAAACAAGAAGTACCCACTTAGTTAACACAAATGTGTTATAATTTATAGCTGTATTATAGCTGTCTCTTTACACCACTTTGCCCTTGCAGGCAGACCTTCAGTCAGTACCGTAAACCCGACCTGCTGGGAAACAGAGAGTTCTTTACACTAAATAAATCACACAGCCACAAACATGTCAGATTGAGGGTAACCAGTTTAACAAAACAAACAGCTCCCAAACTAAAGAAAGAGGGGGAAAATGTCCCTAGTATGGATCCAGCAGCCTCCTGATTTGACAGAATGAGGTTGACTGGGACTTCTTGGAGAGAAGCGAGCAGGTACTGTACCTGGAGGACGTCTTCGGGGAGACTGCAAATGGAGATGCATCCCTGACTAACTCTCATTCTTTAAACAGTGTTTCTGGTTGGATCCAGAACAGAAACTCACAGCTCCTACAGATGATTAACAAGCAAGCAGTTCCTTGCTAGAGACCAGCAGAGCAACAAGACCTTTGCTGGGAGGGCTTAGTGTGAAATCAGCTGCTGACCTACAGGAAGAGGCCAGGCTGGGACAGTCTCCTGACCGTACTTTAAAGTTTATTGCTTCTTAATTTGAGAAACACGGGTCAGGTGGGAACCAAGTGGTTAAGTGTTTGTGTGTGTTTGTAGAATTAGCAAAAAACCTCTTGAATCTCTGAACAGATGTGCGAATCTCTCAGAAATTAATTATCAGATGCACGGCAACAACAGATTAGCTTTGTCAGTCAACCACATTCAAAGATGGCTGCCACAGCTAAGTCAACTTAGCAAACACAAACATGTGGCTGTAACACAATCAATTTTACAGATAGTGAGTTAAAATCTGGTGTGGTAGTATCTGAGCATTGTTCCCAGTTCATACTTTGAGCGCCACATTATGCAGCTTCTTGGTTTAAAAACTTTGGCGTTAAATGCTAGTGGCAACCCTGAACCACTGGATGGATTTTAGTGAAACTTTCAGAACCTAATCACTCCATCTAAAACTCTAACTTTTCCAAATCAACCTGGTTCAAAATGCCACATCATCAGCCATAGCCAACACAAAACTGGCTATAACTTTATCAAAATCAGCTGAAGTTTTTGTAGTCGTAGACAAAAAAGAGCTAATTTTCTCTCTCAGTTCCTTTACAGATAAACTATTTAAAATGGCCTTGCTTTCTGAGTGAGACACCCAGTCAAGCCCAATAAATGACATCATCTGAGCACTTTTGACAATTACTCCTGTAGAACCAGCAGCCATAAATTTTCTTTCATGACCTAAATTAAAAGAGAACATTCAATAAATCCAATTAATTTCAAGTGGGTCTGCTTGTTACGATCAGATTGGTCTGAGGCAGATGGCGGTGTGGGTCACATACCATAAACTCACCACTAGATGGCGCACAAATGATTTTTTTTTTTAATGAAGAAGCTGATGTGTGGAAAATGGCTTCTTAAGTAAGCACACTAAGGCAGAGTATTTTTATATGAGCAGTTATTAGCTCAGCAAATAGAGACGAGGTTTTAACAGCCACCACTCTAAATCATCTCAGAGCTAATCAGTTCAAAAACTGCTTTTTATATAAAACAGTGCAGCAGGGGCAACTTGAATCACTGAGAAATGCAGTTTCTCAGAGGGTGACACACAGAAGAAGCTCTTCATCAAACACTCAGATAAAAGTGACTCCTGGTTAGGAGCCTAACAACATTTTAAACATGTTTTTGGGCAACTGCTGATTAGGGTTGGGCATAATCGTATCGTGCGCAATTAATCGTCAGAAAAACATTAATCGATTACTTTTTGGCACTTGATGATTAATACGATTAATGCCAGCAGGCAGACTGACTGGAGATTACTCCGGTCAGTCCACTCGGTGCTCTTCTCCGCTTCAAATATGACGAACATTAAAAATAAAGTTCTGTAATTTATTTATCTATCAACACAATTTAAAATATGATGTATAGCCTGAAGTCTGTAATTTTAAAACAATTTGGAACAGATTTTTCCGAATCTTTCCCACTAACTTGGTCATGTGATCAGGACATAAGGGTGTCCAGGGACTCCAGGGGATTAATCGTCAAATTAATCGTTATCGGCTAAATACCACAATTAATCGCGATTAATTTTTTGCCAATATTACCCAACCCTACTTCTGATGCGTGTCAGAGCTTCTAGTTCATTATTGAATCCGACAATAGCTTTTCAATCTAAATAAAGGGCCAGCCTTGGACCCTGTGGGTTTAAGGCAAGAACTGGACCTTCATGTAAAAAAGGGCAAGAAGAGATGAAAGAACTGTCAGTCTTTTTGTTCATCTCTCTGGAGACTGGAAAGGCCCAGGCTGAAACAGCCCTCCACAGGGTGCAGGGTTGGTCCTGTTGGCCCTGAGGTTGGCATATAGGCAGCTTGTTATGTTGGCTACAACAAATATCCCCGTGGAGACTTAAGTAAAATGTTGCTTCAGTCCTCTGCTACAAGACAAGCTCATGTCGAGATAAACACTATAAATTCTTTTGATGGGTAGCGCACGCGCTATTTTATTTTATTTTTTTAATCTTGCCGGTGAAAAATGACAAGCCGGAGGTGAACAATAGGCGAACAGGAGAATCTCTCCAACCCCCCGAGTAAACAAGCTGTCAGTGTTTAATACGTCAT